TTTTAATTTTCAACATTCACTTCCATAAGCTTTTGAGTTTTAAATTTTCTTCCCCTCCTTCCCTGCCTCCCTCCCCAAGATGGTGTGCCATCTGACATAGGGTGAGCACCCTTTTTAAAGGACTGTACAGCTCACCTTCTGGCATGAGGAAAAGGCTAAAAAAGGTGCCCTAAAATTATCTGCTTTACCCAACCCTGGCCTGTTTACTTCAGGAGGAAGGGATCTCACCCTGCAGGTTGAAACACACAAAAAATGTACAAATTTTTGCAAAAATGATTCCACTCACCATTGGTACATGGAATGTGTGCGCAAAATCCAGTAGACCTGAAAGCTGAACAGCTCTTGTTGCAAGGGAACTCAGCAGATGTGCATCCACATAGGAGCCCTGAGTGAAACAAGCCTGGCAAACGAAGGCCAGCTTACCGAAGTCAGAGCTGGGTACATGTTTTTCTGGAGTGGCCACAGTGAAAGGGAGCGTCCTGAAGCTGGTGTAGATTTTGCAAACAAAACTAACCTAGTCAACAAGCTTGTATGCCTGCCAAAGGAGTGAATGAGAGGCTCATAACAATGCGATTGCCACTTGCAGGAAAACGCTGCACTGCCATCCTCAGTGCCTATACTCCCAGCATGATGAATCCTGAAGAGGTCAAAGGAAAATTTTATGAAGACCTGGGGATCCTCATCATCAATGTACCAAAGGAGGACAAGCTTGGAATTCTGACTTTAATGGAAGAGTAGGCACAGACTACCAGACATGTCAGGGAGTCCTTGGGAGGAATGCAGTCAGAAACAGTAACAGCAATGATCATTTACTACTGAAGACTTGTGCATCTCATGACCTTCTTATCACCAACCTGTCTTCTGTTTATCTAAACACAATAAAACTCTGTGTATCCACCCTAGCAGCAAACATTGGCATTTAATAGACTATGTCATTGGGTTTTGGTTTTTTTTGGCTGGGCAATGGGGTTAAGTGACTTGCCCAGGGTCACACAGCTGGTAAGTGTTATTATGTGTCTGAGGCTGGATTTGAACTCAGGTCCTCCTGAATCCAAGGCCGGTGCTCTATCCACTGCGCCACGTAGCTGCCCCTAGACTATGTCATTGTAAGGAGAAGAGATATACAGAATGTGAGAGTGATGAAAGTGATGTGTGGTGCATCTTGACTCCTCAATGCTGATGGAGCCACATTGATTAGTAATAAGGACATGATCTTGGAGAGGTGCCCTGAATACTTCCATAGTGTTCTCCAATAGAACATCATTTCTCAATGCTAAAGTCATCGACCATAAACCTCAGGTTGAAGTCAGTCCCTTTCTAGCTGAATTTCCAACTGGAGAAGAAGTTTTGAATGCTATTAAGCTCCTCTCATGTGGCAAAACGCCTGCTGCTGATTCTATCCCAGTTGAGATTTATAAGGCAGGGGGTCCACCGCTCCTACAAAAGCTGACCGAAATTTTCCAGGTTATATGGCAAAAGGAAGTTATTCCCCAGGAGTTCAAGGATGCTCCCATTGTCCCATTTCTATAAAGGTAAAGGAAACAGATTGCCCTGTGACAATTATGGGAGGAAGGGGGAAGGGGAGGTGGGGAGGGGTCTCTCTCTTAGTCATTACTGGCAAAATTCTTGCCAGAGTCTTCCTTAATAGGTTGATCCTTCACCTAGAAGACAGTCATCTACCTAAGAGCCAGTGTGCCTTCAGAAAGAGCCGAGGAATGAATGGTCAATATGGCATTTGCTGCCCGACAACTCTAGGAAAAATGCCAGGAGCAGAACAGAGGTGTGTACACAATGTTCATCTGATCAAGAACCTTGATACTGTCAGTTGCAAGGGCTTGTGGAAAATTATGGCAAAATTTAGTTTCCTGAAGAAGTTCATTGGTATTGTACATCAATTTCATGGCAGCATGCTTGTATGGGTTCTGAATAATGGAACATGCTCCTGTGCTTTTTCAGTCACCAGTGGAGTGAAGCAGGGCCGTGTGCTTGCTCCCTTGTTTTTTTTTTAATTTTTATTAATTTATTTTGATTTATCAACAATCACTTCTGTATGCTTTTGAGTTTAAAATTTTTCTCCCCATTCCTCCCCACCACCCTTTCCAAGATGGCGCCCAATCTGATATAGGCTATACATTTACATTCCTATTAAACATATTTTCACATTAGTGATGTTGTAAGTAAAAATTAGAACCAATAGGAGGAACTATCAGAAAGAGGAAACAACTCAACAGATGAGAAAAAAATAGCAATTCAACTTCCATAGTTCTTTCTTTGGATGTGGATAGCATTTTCCATCATGAGGCCTTTGGAGATGTCTAAGATCCTTGTATTGCTGGGAAGGGTTAAATCTATCAAGGGTTAAGTCATCGCATAACATGGCTGTTACTGTGTACAACGTTCCCTTGGTTCTGCTCTCTTCACTCAGCCTCAGACCATACAAGTCTTTCCAAGTTTTTCTGAAGTCAGCCTGTTCACTTCCATGCTTTTTAGCATGATGTTTTCAGCAATGTTGTCATACACCTTCAATGAGGATGAAAGTGGCATCAATGTCAGCTACCGTACTGATAGTAAATTATTTAACTTGAAAAGGCTACAAGCCAAGACTAACATGAAGGGAGAGTGGTGCATAATTTTTTGTTTACAGATTGTGCACTCAATGCAGCCTCTGAAGCTGAGACACAACAAAGTGTAGATTGATTTTCCGCTGCTTGTGCTAATTTTGGCCTAACAATGAGCATCAAGAAACACCGATTCTCCACCAGCCAGTACCACACCATCCATACAAGGAACCATCAGTTATAGCAAATGGAGAATTTTTGAATGCCGTAGATAAGTTCGCTTACCTTGGTAGTGTACTTTCCAGGAATTTCCACTTAGATGATGAGGTTGACACACCCATTGCCAGAGCTAGTTCAGTGTTTGGGAGGCTCTGAAAGAAAGTGTGGGAGAGAGGAGAGAACCAAAAGTCTACGGAGCCATTGTGCTGACTTCATTGTAAGTATGCCTGTGAAATCTGGACAGTCTACCTGCACCACACCAGGAAACTGAATCACTTCCATTTAAGTTGCCTTAGGAAGATTCTGAAGATCACCTGGTAAGATAAGGTACAAGACACTGAGGTCCTTTCTCAAGCTAAACTGCCAAGGTTTCAAACTCTACTGCAACTCCAGTGGGTTGGCCACGTTGTTCAAATGCCAAACACACCTTTGCTTAAAACACTATTTTATGGAGAACTAATACAAGGCAAGTGCTCACACAGAGGTCAAAAGAAGTGATACAAGGACACTCTCAAGGTCTCTCTGAAGAACTTTGGAATCAATTTTGTGACATGGAAAACACTAACAAAGGATGGCCCATCATGCCCACATCAGAGAAGGCACTGTGCTCTATGAGTGAAGCAGAATTGCAGTAGCTCAAAAGAAACCTGAGATGCACAAATTTAGAGACATCTCCACTCTCAAGGTTCATGTGGGCTATTTGTGCCCAATCTGTGATAGAGTCTTCCAAGCTCATAGGCAACAGTTGAACACATTGTACCTCCACTCCCACACGGTCATGTCATTTTGGTCCTTTTCCAGAACAAAAGACAACCAACCAACCATGTTAGGTAGGACACCAAACCTTTATCTGAGAAATCTGATACAAGAACTTTCTCCTATTCCACTGCTTTCTTTCTTCAGTTCATTCATTTTAATTGTGTAGAAGTTTTTCAGTTTCACATGTAATGAAAGTTCTTCATTTCATCCTTTGTTAAATCTCTTGTTTGGTTAAGAATAGATCTGCTATCCACGGCTATGAGAGCTATACGATCTGTTTCTCTTCTTATTTTTTTGGTAGTATGCATTTAGAGTGCATTGTGGAATATAGCCTAAGGTGTTGGTCTAAGCCTAATTTCTGCCAGACTGATTCCTAGTTTTCCCAGCTATTTTTTTCAATATAGTTCATTCATAGGTAGTTCATGTCTTCCGGTTTATCAAACATTGAGTTACTGAGTTCTGTTGTCTATGATTCTCTCTTGTCTAGTCTACTGTAGTGACTTATTTCTCTATTTTTTAACCAATACCAAATGGTTTTGATTACTATTGCTTTTATATATAATTTGAGGTCTAGAAGTTCTACTCCTCCTTTACCTCTACCTCTTTTTCATTATTTCCCTTGCTATTATAGATCTTTTATTTCTCCAATGAATTTTATTCCTATTCAATCAAGTTCTATTAAGTATCCCTTTGATAGTTTGATTGTTATAGCATTAAATGAAATTTGATATTATTGTCATTTTTATTATATTGGCACAGCCTAGACATGAACACTAAATATACCTCTAGCTATTTAAGTTGTTCTTTCTTTTCTTTTTTTTTTTCCTGTTTGGTGAAGCAATCAGGGTTAAGTGACTTGCCCAGGGTCACACGGCTAGTAAGTGTCAAGTGTCTGAGGCTGGATTTGAACTCAGGTCCTCCTGACTCCCAGGCTGGAGCTCTATCCACTGAACCACCTAACTGTCCCTGTTCTTTATTTTCTTTCTTTTTTTCTTTTGCTGCTCTTTATTTTCTAAAGGAACACTTTGTAATTGAATCAATGAAAGTATTTTTTGTGCTTTGATTAATTGGTCCTCAAGTTGTTGGGTTTTTTTTTTGCATTTTATAATTATTTTGAATAGTACTTTCTATTTATTTTTGCCTCTGGGATTTTTTTATTACATAGAAATGCTGTTAATTGATATCATTTTGCTTGCTACCTCGGTGTGTGGGAGAAGGATGGTGCCTTTCACCACAGCTGTGGGGGCAGCCTCATTGCATCTGACTGGGTCATGACTGGTGCCCACTGCATTTTGTAAGATTCCTTTGGCCTCCTACTCTTCCCTGGCCCTGGCCCCACCCATCCCTCAAGCCCTTAAGACTCACAAGGAAGCTTGGGAAAGTAGAGAGTAGATTCAGTGCCTGATTCTGGCTCTTATTAACTATATGACCTTGGACCAGTTACTTGCCCTCTGGGACCTCAGTTTCCTCGAGTTGAACTTGATAATCATAAAGAAATAGATCTAGATCACATGACCTGAAGTTCCTCATAGTCTCTAAAGCCTCTGGGGTGAGAGAAAGGGGGGAGGCAGGGTCTCTGCTGGCTGAGTGGTATCTGTGATAAATATAGGGCTCTGAGACTACCTGATGGAGCTGACCCTTAACTTTGTCTTCTGGCTTCCCAGCAAACCTCGAACATACCAGGTGGTTCTGGGAGAGTATGACTGGTCTGTGGAGGAAGGGGAAGAGCAAGTGATTCCTGTCAACCCTGATGAGAAATGGGACCCCAACTGTGTGGCCTGTGGGTAAGTGGAATAGCCTCACAGCATATAGAAAGACCTGAATTTGAATTCCAACTCAAATGCCTATTAGGAAGTCCCTTTTATCTTCTCTCTGCCTTAGTTTCCTTATCTTTAAAATGATAACAATAATAGAACCTACTTCACAAGAGTGGATCATAAGTAAAGCAATTTTCAGACCTGCAAATGGTATGCAAATGCTGCTGCTGCTGCTGCTGCTGCTGCTGAAGTAACTCTAGTGCTGACATATAATTGACATACATTCTCACTCAGAGAACACTTCCAACTTTGAGATTCTGTGAAAAAGTCACTGTTCCCAGACTTAGGAATGTGATGTAGGGACCCCCAGTCATCCTGATCCTCCCTCTAGACTCTTTGCCTCCTGTCACTTACAGAGCTGAGTTTGGAGAATATTTAGTTACTCCTTACAATCCAAAGCCATTGTGGGGAGGGGAGACTGGTGGTATAGTGGTAGTAATTCTCTGTTCTCAAAGAGGAATAAAATGATATCACTATGTTAGAGTCAAGTTACAGTGTGTCCAACTAATCAGACCAAATACAAGGTCAGAATGCTCTACCACAGGTAGGGCATGAATAGGCCATGTGAACATTTGGAGTGGATTCTTCATATTTGCCCATCTAGTGTTCCTTTTGAGCACTTCAATTCTGCTTTGCTCACAGAACACGGCACCTTCTTTGATGCGGGGGCGCCATGCTGGGCAATCCATGTCACACAAATCAAGAGTTTAGGGCTGGGATGTGTCCAGATGCTCAGAGGTCACACCCCCAACAGAACAAGAATGAAATTATCCAGCCATCACAACCTCTCCATGCCTGGTCATCCCCTCCCCTCCACTGTGGCTGTTTCGGGGTGACTCTGGAGGACCCCTTAACTGCCAGGCTGATGATGGCACCTGGAAGGTCCATGGTGCTACTAGTTTTGTTTCTTCTCTTGGCTGTAACACCCTAAAGAAGCCCACGGTGTTCACCCAAGTCTCAGCCTTCAATGACTGGATTGAAAAGGTAGGAATTGAGGGGAAGGGGCAATTAGCTAAGGCTTGGGTCCCCCACAGATGCTGGAGTGGGAGGGGAGGGGTGAGAGAACACGCTTTCCCAGGATCGCAGAACCTCAGAGTTAGATAGCAGTTTTATGTTATGGAAAAAGTCCTCCTAATAGAAAGACTTCCATTTTGGGCCTGGTGATTTAAGTTAATTCGGAGAGGTTCATCAGCCAGTCCGTCAATAAGCACTTTTTAAGCTCCTACTGTGTGTCAAGCACTGTGCTAAGCACTAGAAATACAAAGAAAAGGCCAAAAACAGCCCCTGATTTCAGGAGCTCACATTCTAATGAGGGAGACCACCTAGACCCCGCTATGTACAAGCAAGGTATAGACAGGATCAGTTGGAGAGAATCAATAGAGGGAAGGCTAGACCACCTGATTAGCTGCAGGATAATGAATTTTTTGGTCATAACAACCCTTGAAGTTATAGAGGGGCTGTGATCTGAGAATACTTACAGAGGCCAAATTGCTTATTCAAATATCCAAGTAATAATAGCCAGCATTTATATAGTACTCCACGTATGTTAAATTGTTTGGTCCTCATGACAACCTGGAGAGGTAGGTGCTCTTATCATGCCCATTTTATAGATAAAGAAACCAAGGCTGAGGAAGATTGGGTGACTTGCCTAGGGTCGCTTAGTTTAGCAAATGTCTAAGGCAGGATGGGAACAGAGAGCTTCCTGACTCCAGGTCCAACACTGTATCCACTGGGCCCCCTAAGCCCTTGACAAAGACTGTCTCATTGTATCCTCACAACAACCCTATGAGGAAGATACAGTAGCCATTCTCAAACTCATTGTGTGGGTGAGAAAACTGGGGCTCAGAGATGAAGACATTTGCCTCTGGTCACTCAGCTGGTTAGAGTCAGATGGAGGAGGTAGCCCTGCTCTCTCCTGACTCCCCATTCTGCGCTCTAACCAATATACTGCCTTGCTACCTTACCCCAAGGAATGACACACATTGAAGTTGGTGGAGAAGGGCTTTATGTAAATTCCTGGATGTTAGATCAATGATACATCGTTATGGGGATATTTGAGAGACAAGTTATATTGGGATGGATTTTAACTGGCAATCTGATGCATTTATGTTTTATTTAGTCAAACCTTTTGGTCTCAGGACCCCTTTACACACTTAACAATTCCTGGGGGCCACAATGAGTTTTGGTTTATTCCATATTAGGAATAAAAATCTTAATATTATTATGAAAATAGTTTTGATCTTGTGGACCCTCTAGAAGGGTTTTTTGGGGTCCCCAGATCTCACTTTGAGAACCACTGTTAGAGGCAAGTAGAGAGCCCTTGAAGGTTCTTGAGCAGAATAAGAAGTGCTTTGGCAGAGGTGGGGGGATGTGATGCTGGCTGGCTGGAGCACTGGGCCGACCCAGAAGATGACAACAGTTCAACATTGTTAAAAGAGGGCCTGGATTTAGTTGACTTGGGTTACTTAGTACCTATATATGGATCTGTCACTTCTCTGGGCTCATTTCCTTCATTTGTAAAATGGGGGGAAGGGATCGAACAGATGATCTCTAAGGTACTTTCCCTCTCTAAATCCTATGCTCTCTTCATAGATGACAGCAGAACATTAGAGAGGAGCCAGAGCTGGCTTGGAGGAGCCCTTTCAACAGCAGAAGTAAAAACACCTTGGAAAGCTGGCTTTCTGTTTCTCTTTTTTGTTGGCCCCTGGCTCGCTATATTTCCCCTGCCTTATTCCTTTCAACTGTAGGAATGCAAATAAATAGTTTAACCTTATTGGATTCCTTATGATATCAAATGGAAATTCCTCTATTTGACATTTCAAGGCCTTGATAATCTGGCCCCTTGTTACCTTTCCAGTCTTCTCACTCTTCCCCTCCCACCACAAATGCTGATATAGCCGTACTGGCCTCCCTGTTTACTGCTCCTCACACAGGACCCTCCATCTCCAGGTTCAGGGCAGGAGTTTGTATCACCTGTCCCCCATGACTAGAAGGGTCTCCTTTCTCATCTCTACCTCATAGCTTCCTTCACGAATCACCATAAATTGGGGCAGCTAGATAGTGCAGTGGTTGGAGCACTGATCCTGAAGTCAGGAGGACCTGAGTTCTAATCTGAACTTAGATGCTTACTAGCTGTGTGACTCTGGGCAAGTCACCTCAGTTGCCTCAACAACAACAAAAAAGAGAATCAGCACAAATTTTACCTTCTACATGAGGCCGGACTTAGTTGTCATCCCCTCCCACACTCACACCTCTCTTCTCTCAAAGATAGACTCCCTTCCATTGACCCTCTCTATATCTTATATTCACCTAGCTTTTTGTGCATTAGCTTTCACATTAGAATATAAGCTCCTTGAGGGGAGGGGCCATATTTTTGTGTTGTTGACTTTCTTTGCATCCCCAGCTCTTAGCCCAGTGCTTGGTCCATGGTAAGAGCTTAATCAATGTTTGTTGACTTGTAGTCTGGGTAGAATTTTAACAAATGAATGTGGGGAGGGGGGAAGGCGGGGTGGCAACATTCCAAGTGTGGGATTCTGCTGTGAGCTGATACAAAGGTAGGAAAGCGTGGTGTGGGTACAGGCGCCCACCTGTGGGTAGAGGTGACTTCTCCTTGTAATTTTGCAACATTCACTTTTGATCCTTTTGTGGTACCTCTTTGTATTTGCTTTGTGATCACTGTGTATATTGTATTCTTGGCTCTGCTTACTTCACTGAATCAGTTCATGAAGATCTATTAATGCTTCTCCAGATTCATCACATTACTAATTTTTAAAATTTAAAAAATTTTTTATTTAATATTTTATTTCCTCCCAATTACATGTAAAAACAATTTTTAACATTCATTTTTTAAAACTTTGAGTTCCAAATTCTCTGCCTCCCTTCCTCCCTTCTCCTGTCACTGAGAAGACAAGCAATTTGATATAGGTTATACGTGTATAGTCCTGTGAAATATATTTCCGTATTAGTCATGTTGTGAAAGAAAACACAGACCAAAAAACCCAAGAAAAATAATGTAAAAATAACACATTTCAATCTGCGTTCAGACTCTATCAGTTGTTTCTCTGGAGATGGATAGTATTTTTCATCATAAATCCTTAGGAATTCACATTAACTTTTTAAAATACAATAATATTCTATTAATTTATATGATGTTTTTAGCCATTGCACAAATGATGGGCATTTGTTTTGCTTGTAATTCTTTGTTATCACAAAAAAGTGTCACCATAAATATTTTGGTTTACTTGGGGACTTTCTTCTTCTCAATATCCTCTTTGGGGTATAAGCCCAGTAATGGAATTCCTGGGTCAAATGTTATAGATGTTTTAGTCACTTCATTTGCATAATTCCAAATAACTTTTACTGATTCACAGCTCCACTAACAATGCGCTTTGTTTTTATTATTCAGTTGTTTCAGTTGGGTCTAACCCTTTGTGACCCCATTTGGGGTTTTCTTATCAAGGATACTGGATTGTTTTGCCCTTTGCTTCTCCAGCTGATTTTACAGATGAGGAAACTGAGGCAACCCGGGTGAAGTGACTTGCTCAGGGTCACACAGCTAGAAAGTGTCTGAAGCTAAATTTGAACTCAGGAAGATAAGTCTTCCTGACCTTAGGCCCAGCACTCCATGCACTGCATCACCTCCCTGCCCAACAATGCACTTACTGAGTCTTATTTTCCCACAACCTTTCTAATATTGACTATTCTCCTCTTTTGTTATTAATAATAAAATAGCACTTTAAGGTAAAAAACCTTGCATATGTTATCTCATTTGATCCTCACAACAATCCTTAAAAGGAGTTTTAATTATTATCCCCATTTTACAGATGAGGAAACTGAGGCACAAAGCGTTTAAATGACTTGCCTGTAGTTACACAGCTGATGGTATATATATGCCCTTTAACATATCTGTGCCCAACAATATATATTATGTGTATTTTGTTCAGTAACTGTTTGTTGACTGAATAGATGAATGAATGAATATCTTATACCTGTTAATATTGGAGTTCTGCTTTGGACATGTCTCGTTTGAGATACTTATGGGAAGTCCCATTTGAAATGTCCAAAAGGCAGTGGGTGACACAGAATTGGAGATCAGGAAAGAGGTGAGGGATGGATATGTAGCTCTGGGAATCTCTTGCATGGAGATGGTAGCTGAATCAATGGAAGCTGAAGAGATCTCCAAGAGAGCCCAGGACTTCAAAGTAGATCAATGTCCCTTCCTCCAGGAAGGCTTCCCTGATTTCCTGGCTGATCATAATCTCCCTTTCTCATTCCAACTCATAGCATTTTACTGGAACTCAGCGTACTCATCAGACTCAGTTGTGGATGAGGCTAGAGTCTTATCTGTCAGCACATCACTCTGCACACAGTAGAGGCTGAGTAAACATTTAGTGAGTCAGAGTTCCTTCAATTCAACAAGCATTAATTTTTCTTTTTTCTCTTTCTAAATAGTATTTTATTTTTTCCCAATTACATGTAAAGACAATTTTTAACATTCATTTTTTAAAAAATGTTGAGTTCCAAATTCTTCATCCTCCCTCTCCTCCCTGCTCCTTAAAACAATAAACAATTTCATATAAATGACAGTTGTGCAACCATGTAAAATACATTTCCACATTAGTCATGTTGTGAAACGACAAATAGACCAAAAAACAAACAACAAAAAAAGAAAGTGAAAATAGTATGCTTTGATCTGCATTCAGACTTTATTCAGGTTCTTTCTCTGGATGTAGATAGCATTTTCCATCTCGAGTCTTTTGGAATTGTCCTGGATCATTATATTACTGAGAAGAACTAAGTCAATTGTAATCCAAACAATGTTGCTGTTACTGCGTACAGTGTTCTCCTGGTTCTACTTACTTCACTCAGCATCAGTTCATGTAAGTTTTTCCAGGGTTTTTCTGAAATCTGCCTGCTTATTATTTCTTATGGAACAATAGTATGCCATTACATTCATATACCACAACTTGTTCAGCCATTCCCCAATCAATGGGCATCCCTTTGATTTCCAATTCTTTGCCACCACAAAAAGAGCTGCCATAAATATTTTTGTACATGTGGGTCCTTTTCCCTTTTTATGATCTCTTTGGGATACAGACCTAGAAGTGTCAACAAGCATTTATTAAGCAGTTACTGGGAGTTTCTCTTTTACTTTCAGTGATCTTTTTGCAAAAATTCACCCAAAGGAAGGGTGTCCCAAAGTGAGACTTAAATAAGGTTGAAAGAGCAGAGACACTGAAATGTAAAGATGAGGCCCTTTCAGGTAGAAAGCCCTTCATATCTTAGCCAGGGTCAGAGGTTGGAATAGTCCAATTACAAATGATGAGGCCAAGGAGAAACAATGAAGTTGTCTTAGGGCAGAAACTGCCATTATAATTTTGTCCCCAGTCACTCATTTGCATAAGACCCAATGGGAATCTGGGAATTTTAACTTGGTTGATCATCATAAATAAAAGCAGAGTCCAAAACTGAAGGAAATCTTCCCCCGAACCAGGAAGAATTAATGAATAAGAGAAAAAAGACCTCTCCCATCACCTGCCTGGAGTGACAAACAAGTCTCAGGAATGAGGCTCTGAAGGAGCCAAACATGAGAAGCCCCTGCCAAACATAGGTTAAAATTACCTATGTCCCCAAAAAGCTCACTGTAGCACTAGACTTGAAAAGAGCAATGTTAACTCCCAGCTGTGCCACAGACTGGCTATCAAATCTAGGAAATCTGATGGATGGGGAGCCAGCCTAGTAGCTGACTGACCCAGCCAGCTAAGATCTCTTGCCCTACAAGAAACCAGCCCAGTTGATACCTGAGCAACGCATCCATTACCCACATCATGGCCTGCAGCAAACTTCATGTGCACCCTCCAGACCAGGGGTTCTTAACCTTTTTCTGCGTCATGAACCCCTTTGGAAGTTTGGTGAAGCCTCCTCAGAATAATCTTTTTAAATGAATAAAATAAAATACATAATATCACAAAGGATATCAATTAAATTGAAACGTTATCAAAAAAAATTTTTTAATTGCAGGCATGGGGCAGCTAAGTGGCACAGTAGACAGAACACTGGCCCTGGAGTCAGGAGGACCTCAATTCAAATCCAGCCTCAGACCCTTGACATTTACTAGCTGTGTGACCCTGAACAGGTCATTTAGCTCCATTGCCTAGCTCCCCACCCAACAAAAAAAATTGCAGGCACCAGGTAGAATCTGTGCTCTAGCAAAAGAAAAGATACCAAGGCCTTATAGCTCCAAAGTTGTGACTTGTCTTGGCTATGTGTGTTCTCTATCAATGTAATATGTTTGTGCCTATTTCCCCCACCCCACAGACTCTGTAGTTGCAGGAGAGGATGTCATGGGCAAATTCTTTTTGAGTATTGTTTCTGCTATGCCATTTGAGTAAAAATGCCTTTACTAAGACATGAGTGATGGGGTGTGACCCAAGCCGAGGTCTTTGCCCCCTGCCCTAAAGGGAATCTGGCTCCCCTTTTGTCTACAGGCCACAGCCCCTCATCTCCCTTTGAAAGCCTTAGCCTACCTTTTAATTTCACTCAGATACCTTTCAGTCCTTCATTATCTATTCCCATTGTCTATTCAATCTCTTAGACATTCCAGTCTCTGGGAATTCTCACCCAGACCTTTTTCCCAGACCCTTTTCCCAGACCATTTTCCCAGACCATTTTCCCAGACCCTTCCCTGGTCACCCAAAGTATATAAGATCTACCCTGGCCCTCATTCGGGGCTGAGAATCTCAGGTCCACAAGGCTGAGAACCTCTCATGCCCGTTCGTCCTTATGGGTGTCACCCGGCCTATGTGTTTTACCACTAATAAACTTTTCCTCTGGCTGACGAAGATTTGAGTTGAATTCTTTCAAGCAGGGCCTGGTACCACAATCTTGGGGTCCCAGCACCCCAAAACCCCTAGACCTCTTCAATGAGTGTTAGAATTAGAAGGGTTTAAGTTTCCACAGGTAGAATAATGCAGAGTATTTAAAGAACAAAGGTCCCAGGAGGTGGTACACTGTAGGTGGGCTGGGCTTGACCAATAGGAAGTAAGTGGATTGTTCCAAGAAGATCCCAAAATCAAGATAGGGGTTGAGCCAGCTCAGACCAGTTAGGGTCAACCTGAGGACACCTGAAAAATGTTACTGCTCATACTTAATGAACTTCATTACTATTATCTGACACACCCCGCATAAAATTGGAACCTCATTAACGAGTCATGGGACGTATGACCAAGGGAGGGGGAACATACTTGAGCACATCAAGGGGAAACATGTAAGGAAAGGTGTAACCTGGGAAGGGTTGGACCAATCCCGGCCTGGGAGGTTTCCCTTGCCGAATTCAACTGCATAAAAGCACACTTTCCCTTGCACTCAGGGCCCACCCCTCCTGAAGAGGGGTGGAGCCCGCTTCTGGCCAGAAACGTCTAAATCCTCTGGACTTTCTTTATAATAAATTTTTCTTGATACTAAATTTCTGGTGTCAAGCCTATTTCTAACAATGAGTATACCGGCTGATTGTTAAAGGGAAGTGCACTGTTGGGAGCTTGTGAGTTACACTACTAGGAGAAAAGCTCCCCACAAGGTTACCCCTAGAATCTTGAGAGTAGTAGCAATCATTCATCTGGGGACCCAGCCTGTGCATACAAAATGGAGGTGGGAGCCCAGAGGGTATGCACCACTAACAATTAGAGCTGTCCCAAAGTGGAAGAGGATGCCCTTGGGAGGTGATAGGTTTCCTTTCAGTAGAAATCATTGAGCAAAGGCTGTATAAACATTTATTGGGGGCATTGTAGAGGAGATCCTCATCCAGGTACTGGCTAGTCTAGATGGCCTCTGAAGTCTTTTCCATTTCTGAGAGTCTGTGAGTTGTATCCCTGAGGGAGGAGACTGTCATAGTCATCCCTCTGGGTCCTTCAGTGCTCAAGGCAGGGGTCACGAAGAGTTAGACAAGACAGAAAAAACAACTGAACGATATACATGTATATAAAAAGCCCTGTCTAAGCACTGAAGGACATGTATTTGTGTGTATACATAAACACATACATATATACACACCCTTCAACATATATATGCCCAATTTTTAATATATATAATATGTTGTTCAATAAATGTTTGTTGACTGAATAAATAAATGAATAAATATCTTATACTTGTTAATATTGGAAAGAATGCCAAACCTGAAGTCAGGAAGACCTGAGTTAAAATGTAGCCTCAGAAATTTACTAGTTATTTGGCCCCAGGACAATTACTGAACCTCTTTTCCTCAGTTTCCTCATCTGTAAAACGGAGATAATAATAGTACCTACCTCCCAGGGTTGTTTTAAGGATCAAGTGAGATAATAATTCTAAAGTGCCTGGCACATAGTAAGTGCTATATAAATGTTAACTATTATTATGATGATTACTATTCCCTCCCTGGCACCTGGTATGCCATCAGGTATAAAGTACTTCTCCCCTTCTTCAGTAGACATCCCCTTTGTCCTGAATGATAGCTATAAAGTTGGGCTGGTTTCTGGTCCCAGTGAGCAGCCCAGATTCCCTCCAGGAGAATTAGGGGCACAGCATTGTTGGGAGCCTTTGGGGGAGGCAGGGCTAGGTGGTATAAAAGAAACACAATTCGCAAGGAACCAGGTTACCTGGGGAAGGTTCAAGTTTTCAGGGAGATTGAAGGCTGAAGCAGGGAAGGGGAAAAGGGAATGAAGATTTATTAAGCATCTACTGTGTGCCAGGCACTGTGCTAAGCACTTTCCAAATACTATTTCATTTGATCCTCACAACAACCCTGGAAGATAGGTGCTATTGTGATCTTCATTTTACAGATGAGGAAACAGGAAGATGACTTTAAGTGACTTGCCCGGGGTCACACAGCTAGTCAGCGTCTAAGGCTGCATTTGAACTTAAGTCTTCCTGACTCCAAGCCCAGTGTCTTATCCACTGCTCCATCTAGTGGCCTGGAGTTGTTACAGTTGGAAGGAGTAAGGCAGGGAGAAAATACAGGGAGCCAGGGGCCAACAAAAAAAGAGAAACAGAAAGCCAGCTTTCCAAGGTGTTTTTATTTCTGCTGTTGAAAGGGCTCCTCCAGCCGGCTCTGGCTCCTCTCTAATTTTCTGCTATTATCTGTAAAGAGAGCATAGGATTTAGAGAGGGAAAGTACCTTAGAGATCATCTCTTCCAACCCTTCTCCCCATTTCACAGGTGAAGGAAATGAGCCCAGAGAAGTGACATACCCATACATAGGTACTAAGTAACCCAAGTCAACTAAATCCAGGCCCTCTTTTAACAATGTTGAACTGTTGTCATCTTCTGGGTCGGCCCAGTGCTCCAGCCAGCCAGCATCACATCCTCCCACCCCTGCCAAAGCACTGAGGAGTAGTATGCCTTCTCCTCATTCTGCTCAAGAACCTTCAAGGGCTCTCTACTGCCTCTAACAATGGTTCTCAAAGTGGGGTCTGGGGACCCCAAAAGACTCTTCTAGAGAGTCCACAAGATCAAAACTATTTTCATAACAATATTAAGATTTTCATTCCTAATGTGGTAAATATTGATAGGTATAACCCATATAAATCAAAGCTCATTGTGGTCCCCAGAAATTGTTAAGTGTGTAAAGGGGTCCTGAGACCAAAAGGTTTAACTAAATAAAACATAAATGCATCAGATTGCCCTCTAAAATCCATCCCAATATAACTTGTCTCTCAAATATCCCCATAATGATGTATCAGTGATCTAACATCCAGGAATTTACATAAAGCCCTTTTTGAACCAACTTCAATGTTTGTGGTTCTTTGGGGTAAGGTAGCAAGGCAATACGTTGGTTAGAGCCCTGAATGTGGAGTCAGGAGAGGGCAGGGCTATGTCCTCTATCTGACTCTAACCAGCTGAGTGACCAGAAGCAAATGCCTTCATCTCTCTGAGATTTTCTCACCCACACAATGAGTCTAAGAATCGCTACTGTATCTGCCTCATAGGGTTGTTGTGAGGATACAATGAGACAGTCTTTGTCAAGAGCTTTAGGGGGCCCAGTGGATATAGGGTTGGACCTGGAGTCAGGAAGATCTCTGTTCCCATCCTGCCTTAGACACTTGCTAAACTGAGCGACCCTAGGCAAGTCGCCCAATTTTCCTCAGCCTCAGTTTCTTTAACTATAAAATAGGCATGATAAGAGCACCTCCCTTCACCTTCTCCCCCCCACCCAGGTTGTTGTTAAGATTAAACAAAATAACATATGTGGAGTACTATATAAATGCTGGCTATTATCACTTCAATTTTGAATAAGTAATTTGACCTGTGTGAGTATTTTCAGATCACAGCCCCTCTATAACTTCAAAGGCTGTTATGGCCAAAAAATTCTTTGACCTGAAGCTGATCAGGGGATCTAGCTCTTCATACCTTTCTAACACCTTACACCCCACCCCAGCCCCTCCATATCCTCTTCTATCCGGTGACACTAGTCTCCCTGCTATTCCTCATACAAGACCCTCTATCTCCCAACTCCAGGTATTTGCACTGGCTGTACCCCATACCTGAAATGCCTTTCCTGCCTTTCCTCAAGTCCCAGCTAGAATCTCACCCTCTATAGGAAGCCTTTCCTGATTCTCCTTAAGATGAGTGCCTTCCCTCTATTGATTCTCTCCAATTGATCCTGTCTATACCTTGTTTGTAAATAGTGGGGTCTAGGTGGTCTCCCTCATTAGAATGTGAGCTCCTGAAATCAGGGGCTGTTTTTGGCCTTTTCTTTGTATTTCTAGTGCTTAGCACAGTGCTTGACACACAGTAGGAGCTTAAAATGTGCTTATTACTGACTGACTGATGAACCTCTCTGAATTAACTTATATCACCAGGCCTAAAGTGGAAGTCTTTCTATTAGGAGGACTTGTTCCATAACATAAAACTGCCATCTAACTCTGAGGTTCTGTGATCCTGGGAAAGTGTGTTCTCTCACCCTTCCCAGCCTCTGCAGGGCACCCAGGCCTTGGCTAATTACCCCTTCCCCCCAATTCCTACCTTTTCAATCCAGTCAATGAAGGCTGAGACTCGGGTGAACACCGTGGGCTTCTTTAGGGTGTTACAGCCAAGAGAAGAAACGAAACTAGTAGCACCATGGACCTTCCAGGTGCCATCATTAGCCTGGCAGTTAAGGGGTCCTCCAGAGTCACCCTGAAACAGTCACAGTGAAGGGGAGGGGGTGATTAGGCGCAGAGAATTTCTCATGGCAGGATAAGTCCATTTTTGTCCGATTGAGGGTGTGACCTCTAAACATCTAGAGATGTCCCAGCCCCAAATCCTGCTGCCTTCGAGTTGTAAGAAACAACTGAATATTTTCCAAACTGAGCTGTGTAAGTGACAGGAGGCAAAGAGTCCAGAGGGAAGAGCAGGATGGCTGGGGTTCCCTGCATCACACTCCTAAGTCTGGGATCAGTGACTTTTTCACAGAATCTCAAAGCTGGAAGTGTTCTCGGAGCAAGAATCCAGTTCAGAATTCACCAATTCACAGCGCTGTCCAGTCTGCATTTGAAAACTCCTGGTGATGGAGAACTCTCCCCTTTCTAAGGCCTTCAGGCCATTCTGTTTGGGGACAGCTCAGTCTGCAACAGTTTGCCCTTCTCTCAATGCACCCCTCAGTGACTTCCAATCATTGCTCATCACAGTTAAGCGAATGGAGAGAGTCTGGATTCAGAGTCTGAGGACCTGGGTTCAAATGTGACCTGTGATATTCTGTTAGCAGTTTGGGGGGGTTTTGGTTGTTTTTATTTTTTGCCTGTCTTTGTATCCCCAGAACTTGGCATACTGCCTAGCACAGAGTAGGTACTTCCTAATTGCTGGTCAATTGACTGATGTTTACTGCCTATATGACCTTGGGCAAATCACTTAACCTCTAGGGCCCTCAGGCTCTTCATCTATAAAATGAAGGGGCCAGGCTGGATGGCCTCTGAGGTCCCTAGTTCTAGCTCCAATTTTATTATTAAATTAAATAATTAGATTACTTCATTTAAATAAATTAAATTCTAAATTTATTATTAATTCTCCCCTCTGGGGACAAGTAGGATAAATCTAATCCCTCTTCTCCATGTTGACTCCTCCATCCTTGAAGATGGCTGGCATGTCCCCTCCCTTTCTCTTCTGGTCAAATGGCCCCAGTTTCCTTAACTGATATCCCTATGGCATGGCCTCTCTTTCCTTCACTGTTACTCTCCTCTCTATGGATTCTAGCTTGTCAATGTCCTTGGGAACTTACGATTCTTAGAACTGACAACAGTACCCCAGATGGGGTCTGATTAGGGGACTGTATGTAGAGAGAGCATACGACCCTCATTTTATGGATGAAGAAACTGTGGCCCAGAGGCCTTAGGTAGTTTTCCCCAGGCATGATAGGAGTAAATAGAAGCTCTGGGTAGTAAACCCAGGTGGTTGGACTCCAACCCCAATGCTCTTTCTAGGACACTAGGATACCAGGCTATCTGTCCTATAAGGAAAGACAGAAGGCAGCTGGGACTGGTATACCCCTCATCCTAGCTAGGGTGGATCCTTCTCTTGATATGTGAAGGGAACATGGCAGAGATTTGGAGCAGGCCTATTGCTGGATCAGACCAGAGCTCCAGCACTAGTGACCTCATCTGTCCCAAGTCAGATGGGTTGGGCAGATTCCTAGGAATGCTGGTCTGGTGGACTCAGGACGGGGAATCCCCAAGCAGAGCTACCCTCTTGTTCCAAGCTCCCCACTCACCACCCTCTCCAGGGCGCTTGGGTGCCACACAGAGCCAGCAGGAAAAAAGCCCTCTCCCCCAAAGGCCCAGCACTCACGTTGCAGCCAGAGCGAATGTCCCCTCCTGCACACACCATGGTGGTTTTCACGCTGGAGCTCCACCAGTCCCGCTGACTGCAATGTTCGTGGTCTACCACAGGGAGCACGGCCTGCTGCAGTACGTCAGGGAGGGGTCCATTAGCTGTAGGGGTGGTGGGGTTGGGGGAGAAAGGTAATTAGGTCTGTTTGGGGAATCAGAGACAGAGAGGGAGAAATAGGAAAGTACTAGATCCCAACCCAAACCAACACCCATAGCTGAGAGTTTGAGAGCTCAAAGTCAAGACCTGGGGGAGTAAATTGAAATATGAGCCTTTGCCCTGAAGTCTAATAGCAAATGTCTTTAGAGAATAGAACAGCGACACTAATTCAAATCTTGCCTCAGAAACTTATTAGCTCTATGATTCTGGGCAAATCACCTAATCTCTCTGTATGCCTCAATTTCTTCACTGGTAAAATGAGGTGGACTGTTCTCTAAGATACCTTCCAGCCCTAAAGATATAATCATATAAATCAAATTCCTTTACCCTGTGATAGCCCTTCAGATACTCTACCTCAGTGTCCTCATCTGAAAATGAGGATAATAATAGTACCTACTTTCCAGGGGGGTTGTCAGGATCATATGATACATAAAAGGTTTTGCAGATCTTAGAGTGCTATATCAATGTGAAGTATTATCTTTATTATTATTCTACCTTCTTCCTCGTTATGGCAGAGGAAATGGCAAACCACTCCAGTATCTTTTCAAAGAAAATCCTATGGACAGTATGGTCCCTGGGGTCAGAAGAGGTGGGTGTGGCTACACAACTAACGATAACTGCGCCGCCTCTTTCCCCAAATGTAGCTCTCCCCAGGGCTCCTCACAGAAGTGAAGTGCTTTGCAAACCTTAAAGCCTAGATAAATGCTGGGTAGTATTATCATTAGCCCCTCTGTCTCCCCCAGAGCAGACAGGCTTGCTGAGCCCTCCTCCCACTCAGGCCCCCTGCCAGCCCTCCCCCTCCCTCTCTCCACTCTGCCCCAGAGCCCAGTCATACTGTAGAGGCGGCCCCAGCCGGTGATGTAGCAGGCTTTGTCATTGTCCAGGAGGGTACCAGCTGAGGGGAGAGAGGCCACTTGGACGTAGTCATTAAGCTGGGCACTTTGAGAGAGCTTGATGAGAGCAATGTCATTCCTGAAACAGATGAGGGGACAAGCTGAGAGAAGACCAGAGAGGGGGATTTCTGCCCAATAGGCACTGCCATGGGGGAAGCCAGTCTGCAAGTCTGAGACCTGCTTTTGGATTCCCCAGCATCCAGAGATTGTTCCCACCTTCCAGCCTCTTCTCTCTCTTCCCAATTCCGCCTCTCTTTCAAGGATTAGCTCAGCCTTCCTCCCTGAAGTCTGCCCTGATAGCGCAGCTCACTTATCACCCTCCTTCCTGGCTTCTTCCCACCCCCCCCCAAAAAAAAACAGCAACTCACCTTTCCACGGCCCTTTGAGGTTTATAAAGCACTTCCCTCACAACCCCATGACGTGGGTAGTGCCATTATCACCCCCATTTTAGAGAGGAGCAGACTGAGACTGAGATCAGTGAAGTCGTTCAGAATCATGGGCTCTTTGTGCCTCTGCCCACACCTGTAATGCCCTCCCCCTTCACCTCCACCTCTTGGCCTTCCTGCCAGCTCCGCCCCAGGTGGTACCCTCTACCTGAAGCCTTTATGGCCCTCACTGGGTGCTTGAGCCTTCTGCTCCAAAAGTCTGCCTTGCATTTCCCTTACAGGTAATTTATCTAGGCTTATTTACCTACAGCTTGTCTCTCTCCATAACAAGTGAGCTCCCTGAGGGCAGGATCGCCTCCTTCTTGTCTCTGCATCCCCAGAGTCTAATATAGTGCCTAGCTCATACTCAGTGCTTCATAAATGCTTGGTGATTAATAAATGTGGAGGTGGAGGGGACCTTGAAGTCATCTACTCTGTGGGTTCTTAACCTGCAGGTCCATAAACTTTTTTTTGCTTTTGTTTATTTATTTATTTGGGGGGAGGGGGCAGGCAACTGGGGTTAAGTGACTTGCCCAGGGTCACACAGCTAGTGAGTATCATGTGTCTGAGGCTGGATTTCAACTCAGGTCCTTCTGAATCCAGGGCCAGTGCTCTAGCCACTGCACCACCTAGCTGCCCCCACAAACTTTAAAAAAGATATTTTGATAACTGCATTTTTTTTCTTTTTGGTTAGGCAATGGGATTAAGTGACTTGCCCAGGGTCTCACGTCTGTAAGTGTTATGTTTCTGAGGCCAGATTTGAACTCAGGTCTTCCTGAATCCAGGGCCGCATGCTCTATCCACTGCACCACCTAGCTGCCCTGATAACTGCATTTCAATGTCATTGATTTCCTTTGTAATCCTATGCATTTTATTTTATGCGTTGAAAAATGATTCTGAGAAGGGGTCTGTGAGCTTCCCCAGACCATCCAAGGGGTCCAGGACACAAGAAAGGTAAAGAAGCCCTGCTCTAGTCCCCCCACCCCCCACCCCCATTTTACAAATGAGGACAATGAGGCTCAGGAAGTAATGTGGCTTTCCCCGGGGTCCTACAGGCTGTGAGCAGTGGTGCTGGGGTTGGATTAGGGTCACAGACCTAGGGCTGGAAGGGACCTCAAAAACCATCTACATTTTACTGAAGCTGAGAGAGATGCTAGGATTTGCTCAAAGTCACACAGATAATAAGCAGCAAAGGAGGGATTTGAACCCAGGACCTTTGACTCCAAATTCAAAGTTCTTATTTCCACACCACATTTGCTTCCTAGGTTATAAAGTGCTAGCCAGTTCAAAATCTCACGATCTTATGAGTCCTCTGGCTCAGGATCCTGTCCCTAAGCAGACTACTCTTTAGACAGGGCAGGTCTTGAGGAGGAATGTGAGCATCCTGGAAACTGAGTCCAAGGAAGGAAGTTGCCTTCCCTCTGAGGACACAGGCAGAGGTACAGACTAATTCACCAAGGCCGAGCCTGCCCTGGGGTCTGCCTCTGTCTTATCTACTCTTTGCCCCGGAGGGCTTGCCAGGTATGCGCCTCCCACAGGCACTGAGCTGTCCAGGCATGAACTGGGGGTGGGAGGGAGCCTTTCGAGGGACTTCATCAATATGACTAATATATGTATAGCATCTTCGTGTCTGAAAGTCGCTTTACTTACGATCCACCCTTGTGAGGTTGGTGCCCCCATTGTTATCATTTTTAAAGATAAAGAAACCAAGGCAGAGAGGACATAAAAGTGACTTCCCACTAGGCATCTGAGTCAGGATTCAAATTCAGAGTGTTCTGTGGGGCTATTCCACTTACCCACAGGCCACACAGTTGGAGTTCCAGTTCTCATGAACAAAGAGGTCATCAGACTTGACAGAAATCACTTGCTCTGTCCCTTCATCCACAGACAGGTCATGGTCTCCCAGAACCACCCGGTATGTGCGAGCTTTGCTGGGAAGCCAGCAGACAAAGTTAAGGGTCAGGAAGTCTCAAAGCCTCAGATTATCACAGGTACCACTCAGCTAGCAGGGATCCCTCCCCACCCCCCCACCCCGAGGTGCCACCCTGGCTAGAGACTACAACAAACTTCAGGTTTTATGATCTTCTAGATCAGGAGTGGGGAACTTGTGGCCTCGAGGCCACATGTGGCTTTCTAGCTCCTTGGGTGTGGCCTCTTGACTGAGTCCAAGTTTTACAGAACAAATCCCCTTTACAGAACAAATCCGTTTATTAAGGGGATTTGTTCTGTGAAGTTTGGATTCATTGAAAGGGACACACTTGAGGACCTAGAGGGCCATATGTGGCCTCACAGATTCCCCACTGCTGTTCTAGATCTATTAAAATTTGTGATCATCAAGCTCAACTTCCTCATTTCACAAATAAAGGAACTGAGGCCCCAGAGGGGAAGTAAGTAGCCCGAAGTCCCATAGCTAATAAGAGCCAGAGGCAGGATTTGAATCCACTTTCTACTTTCCCAGGCTTCCTTGTGAGCCTTAAGGGGCTGAGGTGGGGTCAGAGCCAGGGCTGGGGCGGGGCTGGGGGGGGGAATAGGAGCCCAAAGGAGTCTTACTTAATGCAGTGGCCAGCAGTCAGGACCCACTTAGATGCAATGAGGCTTCCCCCACAGGTGTGGTGATAGGCACCACTACTCTGGTACTGAAGGGAGACCTGTGGAAAATAGACAAGAAGAGGCCTGAGATTAGCCCGACCCCACCAGGGCCTCCCAAGCCTCATAACTGAATGGGATGCTTTGAGCTACTCCAGGAAGGTCCTTCCATCCCCCTCCCACCTAGGCACTAGGTGTAGGTGTCAAGAGTCAGCGATCTAGAAGATGTTTGTGTGCAATGATGGTACACTTCATGTGTCACTATTACACTGTGTGTGTCTTTCATACTGTGTGTCTTCATATCCCTGCTCTCAATAAACACCAAGCGATAACATTGTCCAGAGCAACCAGGCCCAAGTACCCCATTGAGTCCATCCCTATACCAAAGGAACTCTCATACATCGATATCTCCTCTACTAATTGGTAGGATACACCATTGGTGTGTTCAAAGCCTATGAATGATTGTTCATTCCCATGCCAGCCAAGGGCAGAGCTCATTTCCAAACCCCAAAATCCTTGTCTCCCCTCAAGACACATGTTCAGAGGCCTCTTCCTTCCAAAGCCTTCTCTCCAGTATCTGGGAGCCTGTGCCTCTTCGAACTACCTTGGTTTCACTTATCTGTGTCTACTTTGTGTGAACCAGCAGAATGTAAGCTCCCTGAAGGCAGGGGTTGCTTTTGTTTTGTCTTTATATAGGCACCACTCAACCTCACATAGTGCCTTGAGCCGGTAGGTGCTTCACAAATTGTTTTGTAACATTTCATTCCATTGACTCAGGTCACCTCTGCACAAAGTCGTGGCCAGACTCAGGGTGATTTGTCCTTACCTGCCAGGGCCAGCTGTGGGGCACAGCGTCCTCTCCATTCACCACACGGGAGACATGGAAGTAAGTGCGATTGCCACAGCCTGAGTCTAGAGAGAATAGCAAAGAAACAGAATATCAGCATGGGAGCTGGGCAGAAATGAGGACTTGAGTTTGGGTGCTGGGACTGTGAGATGGGGAAACTGGACAAAGGCCACTCTTTGCTCTCAGGTTCTCCCGATCTCAGGGAGGAGGTGGGATACATACCAAAAGAAGCACTGATAATCTTACTGATGTTACCTGAGTAAGTCACTTACCTTCTTCCAGCCTCGGTTTCCTCATCTACAAAATGGGAATAATAAGACCACTTTCCTCTCAGGGTTGTTGTAAGGTTCAAATGAGATAATACTTGCAAAGTGCTTAGCACAGTGCCTGGCATGTCTTAGGTGCTATATAAATGTTAGCTATTATTATTAACATGCCTTCATCACCATCAAATCCTCCCTGCCACTGCCCTTATCACCATTGCTATGACCATCTCATCACCTTCCTGGCCCTACACCAAGGCCAAACCTGACCTGACCGTTCAGTGGTGTTGGCTGTGTGAGGGTGCCAACGACCATGGCACATTCCTTGACCAGGACAAACACTAGCAAATATGCTGCCAGGACTATACTGGGGAAGGCAATGGGAAGCCAGTGGCCAGCTCCTAGGCCGATCCTTCTCATACGCCCTGATCTCATGGCAATTAATACCTGGCTCGCTCCAGCCACTGAGCCTCCTCCACTCTCTGTAATTACCCTGCAAAACAAGGCTGATCTCACATCCAGGACTTCTGCCATATCCCCGCTCTCTATTTCTTGCCACCCTTAAATAATTCTGCAGAATTATGGCATTGCTCTCTTCCTGGTTCTCCAGTTGGCCTTGAATTTTTCCACGGGAATGGCAGCACCTAGGTGCTTCTCACTTTCCTAATTTCCATTATCTAGACATTGGCCCCCTCCTCCTCCCCCCTCTGCTTTTCTAACCTTAGAGCATACTCATTGGACCCAATGTTGGCTCAACCTTAGACTGATCATACCCATGACCCTCTGCTGGCTCAACCTTTGATTAAGCATGCCTACCATTCACTGATGGCCCACTCTTAGGCTAGGCATGCCCATCATCCCCTCTGCTGGTTCAAACAGGATAGGCGAACCTATTACCTTTTGATGACCCACCCTTAAGCTACTCTCATCCTCACAGTCACTCCTGATGACCAAAGAAATTGGCTGCTTTTTAGACCCAAGAGAGGAAGGCACTTTCCAAGGGACCTCTGGGTCCCAACTGGGAACCTTCTACAGCAGAAATACAGAAGGAGTCAGGGAGTCAGGGTCAGGGGTCTCACCAAAGGCCACAAGCAGAAGGGTAACCAGAAGCTTCAGCATTCTGTCTGGCTGTTTCGATAGGAATGAGGAAGAGGCTGCAAAACAGTGGCCTTAAATAGAATTCCCCATATCAGCTGAAACAGGAAGCTGAGGTATCCTGCTGGATTGCCTAATGGAGATCAAGGTGGAGATGAGGGCATGTTCCCAGAATATCACCTGCTGGCCAAGGCCAGAGGAGCTGAGACCAGTGTTGGTGCAACAGGTGGAGGAATACCCAGGAATACCCAAAAGAAAAGGCCCAGGCATCCGGAGGCCAGGTGACTTTGGCTTTGAGACCCATGATATCCTGAGCTGAGCTCTGATCAATAGGACAAACCACCCGGCAATTCCAAAGGACTTGTGATGAGAAATGCTCTCCACCTCCAGACAGAGAACTGATGAACTCTGACTGCAGACCAAAGCTTATTGTTTTTACCTTTATTTTTCTTATTCCCCCCCCCACAGCATGGCTGATGTGGAAATACATTTTCAGAAGACTTCACATGTATAATGGATATTGTATTTCTTGCCTTTTCAGTGGGTAGGGAAGGGCTAGAGCAAGGGAGAAAATTTGGAACTCAAAAATATTTGTTAAAATTAACAATAAAAAAAATGATACTGAGCTGGTAATAGGGAATGGGGAGTCAAATTCCATGGACCCTTTCAATGTCTTCCAGGGATTTCAAGTTACTCAACTAGCCACCCTCTGTCCCCCTTTCAGTTTTCTCATCCAATAGGGATGCTAACCTTGCTCCTGGCCATGATCCTGTCATCACATTGGGTTAGATCCTCTCTGAGATCTCTTCCAACTCTAGCATTCCACGGTTCCTGAATTCTTTAACATGCTTATCTACAGTACCAGTGGCTAATTCCCCAAATGATAAATGATCAAAAGATGAGTTTTCAGATGAAGTAATCAAAGCTATCTATAACTCACTATTGATTGGAGAAATGCAAATTAAAACAATTCTGAGGTACTACCTCATACCTATTAGATTGGCTAACAGAACAGAAAAGATAAATGACAAATGGTGGAGGCGATGTGGGAAAAATGAGACTTTAATGCATTATTGGAGAGTTGTGAACTGATTCAATCATTCTGTAGAGCAATTTGGAACTATGCCCAAAGGACTATAAAACCACACATGCCTTTTTTTGTGTATGTGAGGCAATTGGGGTTAAGTGACTTGCCTAGGGTCACACAGCTAGTAAGTATAAAGTGGTGTCTGGTCTTGAGACTGGATTTGAACTCAGGTCCTCCTGATTCCAGGACCAATGTTCTATCCACTATGCTATCTAGCTGCCTCATGCATACCCTTTGACCTAGCAATACCACTAGTAGGTCTGTACCCCAAAAGAGACAAAAAACAAAAAGGAAAAGGACCTATATGTATAAAAATATTTATAGCATCTCTCTTCTGTGGGCAAAGAATTAGAAATTGAGGGGATACCCATCAGCTGGGGAATGGCTGAACAAGTTGTGGTATGTCATTATGGTGGGATACTATTGTACTATAAGAAATGATGAGCAGCATGCTTGCAGAAAAACCTAGAAAGATTTGCATGGGCTGATGCAAAGTGAAATGTACTGTGTACAAAGTAACAGCAATATTGTAAGATGATCAGTGTGAATGACTTAGCTATTCTCAGCAATACAATGATCCAAGACAACCCTGAAGGACTTATGATGAAAAATGCTATCCATCCCCAGAGAAAGAACTGATGGTGTCTGAATGCAGATTGAAGCATACGTTTTACTTTATTTTTCTTGAGTTTTTTTTGTCTATGTTTTCTCTCATAATGTGACTATTATGAACGTTTTGCATGACTACACATGTATAATCTATGTCAAACTGCTTGCCTTCTCAATGGGGGGGGAGAGGAAGGGAGAGAATCTGGAGCTCAAAGTTTTAAAAATTAATATTAAAAATTATTTTTACATGTAACTAGGGAAAATATTAAATTGAAAAAAAAGAACCAAGTGCTATTTGAGTTTTAAGAGGATATTTTGTAAAGGACAGTGTTTAACCTAAAGTTATGGAGCATTAATCATGTAACTTCAGACACAAGGAGGGGAGTATTGTGGGGGGAGCATTGATTAAATGACATCACAGGGAGGCACATTCTTTCAGCCAATGGAAAAGAGGGGTCCTTGATAAAACAGGCGGAGAGGAAAACATGAACAAAACACAGAGATAGTGATGAAATCCTAGTGTGGGAGGAAAATCATTTGGCCTTCTCTCTTCTATCTGATTGGACACATGGCCAGGTTTGTTTGATCAGCTTGGAGGCTCAGATCTGTTCCCTAGCCCTGGATCCAGAGCACCTGTGATTTTTAGTAGAGAAAGAGGAGGAAGGTGGAGGCAAAAGAGAGAGAGGAGAGAGGGCAGAAGGGAGGGAGGTCAGGTTATTTTTCAGTCATGTCTTCCTCTTCAGGATCCCTTTTAGGATTTTCTTGGCAAAGATACTGGAGTAATTTGCCACTTCCTTCTCCAGCTAATTTTACAAATGAGGAACTGAGGCAAACATGGTTAAGTGACTTGCCCAGGGTCACACAGTTAGTAAGTGTCAGAGACTGGATTCAAACTCAAGAAGCAGAATCTTCTTAACCCCAAGCCTAGCACTCTATCTACTGTGCCACCTAGCTACTCCCCCTGTCAGGTTATTACTCCTGTTTAAAATGCAACTTATTGATGATTTTTGTTTTTACATCAGCACCTTCTCACTCTGACCCATATCGAACCCTCCCTTATGACCCCCCCCAAATTAAGCAAAAAGATCTAATACAGAATAACGTCAGATAGTATTTATAGTATTCTGTCCTAGTAGTCTCCCACCTCTGCCATGAAAGGGGAGATATGTTCATTATCTTTTCTCTGGATCCTTCACTTTTTCCCCATTAATCAGAATGAAACTTCCTTTCAATGATCTTTTTATTTACTTCGTTGTAGTCATTGTGTATCAACATACACTATATATATATATATATATATATATATGTATATATATATATATATATATATTTATATGTACACACACACGATATACTCTCTTAGTTCTGCTTACTTCACTCAGAATCAGTTTATACAAATCTGCTCAAATTTTTCTGAATTCCTAAGAGTTGTCATTTTTTACCACATAATGATATTCTATTATACTCACGGATCATAGCTTTTTTAAAAAAGTCATTCTCTAATCAACGGCAGTGCCTAGAACATAAAAGATGCTTTATGCATGCTTGCTGATCAATGGATGTCCAGCTTGTTTCCAGTCCTTTACTACCACAAAGAAAGCTATGGATATTTGGTTCAACCTTTGTTTCTCTTTGACCTCCTTCAGGTAGTCATGCTAGGTCAAAGGGTATGGGCAGTGTAGTCATTTTTCTTGAATAATTCCAAATTGAAATCCAGAATAGTTGCACCACTTCAGAGACCCACCAAAAGTACATCAATGTGTCAAGAGGCAGGCTGTTTCTTGAGACCCTCTCCCACCCCCAGACCTCACCATCCGCCTCACCCCCATCCCCCCCACCTATCCTACCTGGGTGTAAAAAGCATTAGATTTGGAAACCTGGTTCCAGTCCCAGCTCTGCCACTTACCACCTCATGAAGATCTTGGGCAAGTTAATTCTCTTCTTTGAGACCTTATTTCCTCATCTATAAAATAGGGATAATGATACTTGTACTACTATCTACCTTAAAGGATTAGTGTAAGGATCAAACAAGCTAACGAAAGTGAAAACAGTTAATAAACTATTGAGTTGATACACTGTAAAAGATGCTTAATATTATTATCCTAGAAAAATTAAAGACAGCTTGGCATAGGTGGCTTCAGAATCTGAAGGACCTGGATTCAAGTCCAGTCTCCAATCCTGAGCTACTGAGAGTCCTGATCTAACACCTGACCTAACATCCCGTCACGTAACACCCCATGACTGCCGCTAAATCACTCCCCACTTGAAGTAGCAAGCAGCCTTGAACAAGGTGGTGATCACATCCTGTTTTACCCTGATTCCAAGAATTAGTTTAATTGCAATATCCTGGGTTCAGTAGACAAACAAATATGACAAGATTTACCTCAGAGCCCTAATGTGGGGACCAATCAGCGCTAAAACCTATCCCCACTTCTCTCCAACTCCCCACACCCTATAAAAATGCTGCTCCCTCCCAAAAAGTGTCTCTACCCTAGCAGGAGACTCACCCTTGTTGGCAAACTCAATAAACCTTGCATTGCTTTCCAATTTCTGGACTGGTTACCCTAGTAACAATTTGGTACGGGTGGGGAGGGGGGAGGGAAGGGGGACAATCTAGCCAAGGGGAGCCTTACGTTGACTTTGAGTCAGGACCCAGACTTCGCTGGCTCAGAATCTCCCCATACCTGCAGGAACTGAGTCAGGTGAGTAATGTTACTCAGGCAGGTTAGGGTTGGCCATGTAGCCTAGACTTAAGAAATAACAGTCATCTTGGACTGATCAACCTAGGGTCTGTTTGGAGTCTTTTGGAAACTGGTTTCCTTGATTGTAACCGAGACCAACCCTAGAGAACTAGAAAGACTTCAGCAGCAAGCGCTTGTGTCTGTTTTGTGTGTTTTTGTGGTTAGTATTGGCATCTTAGATTCCTAAGTCAGTTCTTCAGGCAGGAACATCTACAGCCATTGGCTTGCCAGGCCAGCTGACAGGCTTTCCTGGGGATGGATCAGAGGGGGGGAACCTGCAGCCTCGAGGCCACATGTCACCCTTTAGGTCCTCGGGGACCCCTGGATTAGATCCATGACCTGATGACTAGTTCTGGCACTAGCCAGTAGTGCTACCAGGACTGTCTTGAGCAAGGTGCAAAAGCAAAGGCTGCATTCCTGAATGCCAGGGGTCATCAGGAAGGATTTCCTTGGACAACACCCTCCATATAAGCTGCAGACCAGGACTGGGAGATAGATTGCCTTCCAACTCCCTGAGTTCTGATGCCAAAGGCACTCACACCGGGGACCTGTTTGTGGTTGTTTCTGTTGTTTGTTTTCATTATGGGTGCTGGGCCTTCA